GATACTTGTTCCTAGATGCTCTTATTAGACATAAACTCTCCTTAACTTTTGTTGCTGGTGTTTTTTTGGTACCGGGCATTGAACTCGGGTCCTTTCGCTTGCACAGCAGGCGGCGAAACCACTGAGCTAAATCCCCGGCCCTAGCTTTTAAAATATAATCCAATTTAGCCTGTCTGGCTTCTTTTCAGTTTTATTCCTTAGTCCTCCATTACCTGGAAACTCCCCAACAGAGGAAGCCAGCAGCATGAATCCTGCTTTCTTTTTTTGGTCATCCCTCTCTAGGTCTAGGCAGGATAGGGAACTAGGCAGGGCTAGGGAAAGAGAAATGTGCTATGGTGGGAGAACAAGGAGCTGGGGCTGTCACAATTATTAAATCTTGCCCCTCAGGTAAATAGATGAGAAAACCTAGGACAGAGATATAAAAGTGACTCCAACGTGCTCTTCATTGGGTTAACATGTATAATGATTATTGGGTCTGTAGCTCTATGTATTGGGGGAAGAGGAGCTAGGTAACCTCCATCTGTTATCATGCAACCAATGAACTCCTACTATTCATGCTTCCCTTCCTCTTCCATCCAACATTCACCAAATGGTGCATTAGGAATAGTCAATGTCCTTAAGAAGCTGTGGAAAATGAACAGATTCCACCATGCAATAATAAAATGGGATTGTCGAAAGAGTTTGGAGTCAAAGGAATTCGGTTTAAGTCAAGGCTCTGTGAGTCTGTGTCACAAAAAAGAAAATCAAAGCTAGGCAGGTTAGGTGATTTCATGCCGCTGGGCTTCCATTCCCTGTCCCTCACTTGAAATGATGTTTTCTCTCCCACCTCTCAAACTTGTAATCAGGATTACATGAGACTGTATTTAGAAAGCTGTCAGGACCGGGAATTTAGCTCAATGGTGCTGCACCTGCCTAGTTCCATCCCTGGTACCAGAGGTGGGGGGGCTTTCTACAAGCTGAAGTTCTTTGCAAGTGTAAGAGATCGTTATTATGAAATGAAGTGAAATGTAATAAATGCCAAGAAAAATGACAAAGAAATTAATATTTATAGCATAACTACTGTGTTTCAGATACAAAGTTAGAATCCTACATGTATGGTGGTCTTCCCAACGCCCCTATCAGATAGGCAGTATTATCCTTTCACTTACAGCTGAGGATTAGAAATAGGACTAGTGAGGATTAGGAAGTGACTTGCTAAGTTCACATAGCTCCAGAGTGATAGAGCTGAAGTGTGGAGCCAGGTCTGTTTGAGTCGAAAACCCAACCCACCTCTATGCTGTCACATGAGGTACCCAGCCTGGTTAGTAAGAGCCAACCCCCTAAAAAAATGCTGGGAAACTTGCAAGTGTGGAAAGAAGATCACAAACCTAACACTCGAATGCTGAGATGCTCGGGCTGACTAGGGTAGGGAATTTCTTTCTTTTTTGTTTTTTTGTACCTTGGATCGAATTCAGATCCTTGAGCTTGCAAAGCAGGCAACAGAACCACTGAGCTAAATCCCTGGCCCGGTAGGGCATTTCTTTATCACCTTCTGCTGAGCTCTGTTCGTCCAAGGCTATCTGAACTTAAAGTCCATCCTGGCACCTTGGGGTACCCACTTGCTGCTGTGTGTCAGGTGGAAGCCAGTCTTGCCCCAGGCTGCATTTCTGCTGGTCCACCCTGAGTGACGCTCTCTCTCTCTGGTATAGACTACTCTGTTAAGAGAAAGGAGAAGTGCCAAGTTCACAGCCAGAGGCTGGTGCAGCGTGCAAGTGGTCTGACCCAGTAGAGGCTCATGGAGCTGAAGAGCTTGGCCTCTGGGAGCCAGAAACACCAAGCATTTGCTTTGGCTCACAGTGGCCACTGCACCTACTGCTCAGTAACAGCATGAGTGAGTGTGACCTGCCTGAGCCACTGAACTCTGAGCCTGTCTTGTCACTTGTGAAATGGGACTCTTCCAAGAAGTATAGAGATCTGCCCCTGCCTACGGGACAGGCTGGTGGTAGCCTTTGTGACAATGCCTGAGATGTCCACACTGAACCCTGTCAGGTTCCCAGCCATGGTGGTTCTGTGCTGGAGACATAGGGGCCTAGAACCCTGCCACCCTGGCCTCAGCCCCCCACTTTTTCTGCTTTCAGGGGTTGACTGGAAGATGACTGATGTGCAGATTGCTACCAAGCTTCGAGGGTGAGTGGTTCTTAGGGACCCCGGAGTGTCTTCCTGGGTCTCCTTCTGGTTCTCTGTCCCTGAGGTGCTGGCCGGGGGCTAGATGGTCCCACGCATACCCACAACCATGTGGGAACACCCTTGGAGGCCAGTAATCTCCACCCTCATGCCCTTGCCTCCTGGTGTGGCCCAGCAGCTATGATTAATGCCCAAGTGGAGGCTCCCTTGACATTCTGGGCCTGCAGCAGACTCTTCTGCTTCCATAGGGACTCAGATGGGCAAGAGCTGAGTGTGTATGCTTGTAAAAGGCTCCCATTTGCACACCAAGGACCAGTGAATCCTGCGTCAGGGTTTTAATGAGACAAGCTTTAAAATTGGGATCCTGCTGCCTGAGTTAGCACCCTAGGAAGTAAGGAAGGAGGTGCTGGGCGCAGTACCCTGATGATGGCTATGCCAAAGCCAGCCCTCAAGGCTCTGCCACCCTGGCTGGGACCCACTCAGCTCTTCCTATCTGGCTGCAGATACCAAGGCCTCAAGGAGAGCTGCTTCCCAGCCCTGTTGGACCACTTCGCCTCCTCCCACCAGTGCAACACCTACTGCGAGATGCTGGGGCTCACAGCCCTCAAGGGCCCTGAAGCTGCCCACCCCCAAGCCAAGCCCAAAGGCTCCAAGAGTCCATCTGCTGGTAGGAAAGGCACCCAGCTGAGTCCACAGCCCCAGAAGAAAGGTCCCCCTAGTCCTCAGGGAGCCCGAAGGAGCGTGCCAAGCCCCAAGGCCACCTCCCAGGCCTTGGAAGCAGCAGCTGTCCAGGTACTGGGGCAGCCTCCCTCCCAAGAGGGGGGCTCCAAGGCCCAGCGGTAGCCCCAGCAGGGGCTGGGGGCCTCCACCCAGCAGCAGAACAACCAGGAAGCAGCTTGAACCAGACGGAGATGTTCTCGAGACTGCACCAGCGGAAAAGGTGCCCTGAGCAGGCACCTCTTGGGGACTTCTCTGAGCAGCCTCCCTCCGTCATCACTCTTCTGATGGCTTTGGCCATGGTGCATGGCCACCGGCCTCTCCTGGTGCCATTGTCACCCAGCGTTCCCAGGCCTCAAGTGGGACCCACCTCCAAGTGCCTGGCGGCTTCGGCCTCCTAGAAGTTTACACTCACCACTGCTGGAGGCTCCCCGAGTCCTCTGCATGCGTTCTGCACCCCGACCCCTGCCCAGCCAGATGCAGCAGCAAGCGCTGCCATCTGAGGCCTATATCATGCTGATCCCTGCTTGACCCTGCCCTCTTCCTGTCTTCAGGGCTTCAGACTCCTCTGTGGGGTCTGGCTTGTGACTCTCAGGGTGACTTCTTCCAGCTACTTTGCCACATCCATCCCACCTATCCTGCGCCTAACCTGTCCACAAGCCTGGATGGGGCTCAGGGGCATTCTGGAGCCGGTTGTGTCCCTGGGCAGCAGTCTCTGTTGATGCCTGTTCCTGCATTCCCTCTCCATCATTGTCACTCTGGTCCCTGCTCACCTGCTTTGAGCCCCTGCAGTCTGCCCTTCCGACTCTGCTTGTCCCTGCCCCCTGGCTCTTCTGGGCCTGGCCTGCACAGTGCCTGCCAGTGTCTCTGCCTTGTTCCCCTGGCTCTCATCCCTGCCTGTCCCCAGCTTTCTGCTCTCAAGCTCCAGCTGGCATGAGGAGGGTCAGAGAGAGGGCGTTGACTTTGAGGCACCTTGTGCTCCATCCTGGAAGGAGGGGGTCATGCTGAATTTTATATCCCCCTCCAAAGGGATGGAGGTCTAGGATCGTCCTTGTGGGTATCCTAGGAAGGTCCAACCCAGTCAGCTGCAATCTTGGGAATGGGGAGCCCTGCCTCCAACCATTCGCTCTTAATCCTGGGCACCAGTGCTGGGCTCCCCTGTATGGACTTCTGAGGAGTTTCTGTGCTGTACCTGGTGCCTTAGGTCCTTCTTGGACACCCCTCCCTGAGACCCGGCATGGGCAGTCTGGAGCTAGCTTGCTCCCCTTGGAATGCAATAAAAGCAGTGACCATGTGTCCCGCTTGCCCTCATCTGGTTTGGTGACACAGCCAGGTTCCTTCTTCCCAGCCATGCTTGGTTAAGGTGTCCCATAATTCTTGTGTCCCTGAAAAATGAATCTGTATTTGGCTCCTGGCCTCAAGTTCAGTGTCAGTCTTCTGAGGCCACAGGTAAGATGGTTTGTGCTATTTGCACTATTGAGGCGATGGCGTGTGCCTTATCAGGGTGTTTGGGGGCTTCTTACCTTGGGAATTGCTCCTCTATTGAGAAGAGAAACACAAAGGAAGGACTCAGAAAGGAAGAGCACAGCTAAGGGCTCAACAGAAGCTCCCCAGGTCCCTGGATGCCTCCGCCACAGCAGACTGGCCAGGGACAAGCACACCTGGCCCTCAGCCCCTCATGAACCCTGTCCTGCTTCTCCTCCCTCCCCCCGCTGGGGGCCATCATTCTCTTCCATTTTGATGTTTCCAACTTTTCTACCTCCTCTCTGTTCAGGTGACTCTATTTTTGCCTTTGTCCCAGGGTGCCCCCGTTCTCCTAGCCTGCATGGCCAGAGAACGTGGGTGGAGTGAGAGCTGGAATATTTCTCACCCACTCATTCAGTTAGCAAATGTGCACTAAACACCTACTGTATGTCAGACCCTGGGCTAACAGCTGTGGGATGCAAGGATGTGTGGGTGGCCCCAGGGGAGACTGCCTGTTCTTGGGGTGCTTGGGTTTGAAGCAACGGAAATGAACTTGGACCAATTTAAGCAACAAAGGTGTTCATGGAAGGATGCTGGGATAACACACAGAACTAAAAGAATAGCTGAACAAACTGGGTGTGGTGGTTCATGCCTGTAATCCCAGCACCCTGGGAAGTGGAGGTAGGAAGATCTCAAGTTTAAGTCCAACCTGGACAACTTAGTGACTTAGCAGGCCCCTGTCTCAAAATAAAAAATAAAAAAGGCTGGGGATTATAGCTCAGTGTGAAAGCCCTGGGTTCAATCCCTGGTATTAAAAAAAAAAAGCTGAACAATTAGTTGTGGGGAGGGCAGGAGCCTGGGAACCTCTAGGCCTTGTTCCGCCCAGCCCCCAGAAGCCCTTACCTTGGTCACTTCAGGTGCTCTCCTTGCAGATTCAAATTCCAGGTAAGGGAAGCTGGCCTGGAGCCCAGGGCCTCACAGAGTGGGAAAGGGGCAGCTTCCAAAGGGTGGAGATTCTTGCCAGAACAAGGCAGAGGGTGGAAGGGTAGAAGGGGTTTTGTGGGAAAAACAAGATAACTGTGTCTCACACACACATACACACAGGAGTTCTTCCTGTCTGATGGTATCACAACTCTCCCACATACAACCAAATTCCCGACTTCTTAGGGAATTCAAGGTCTTACTCAACCAAACCCAGAGATAATGACAAGGCTATGTTCTCCAAAGTCCAGAGTTACCAGCCGTAACTTTCCTTCAGTAGTTTTATCACAATCCCAAAGTTGAATCACAAGTACTTTCAATTATTTTGAAATTCAGCAACCTGTGGATTAACTGGTTAAAATTCAACCAAAATTATGTAACACCCCCCCCCCCAGTTATGTAACCCAGCAAGAAAGGAAGACCAGGTGAAGGCTACCATCATTTTTGCAGCCAGTCACGAGAACCGCTGGTTCTGATTAGGGGTTTGGGCCTGTTGGAGTTCAGTTCTGAAGCCCAGGCCCTAGTGATCCTGCCTGTGTGCCCATATTTACTACCTGATGTGACAGCACCAGGAAGCCCTCAGGATTCCCCTGTCCTTCTATAGTCTTGCCCCTTTTCATACGGCAGCAATCATTATCTTTTCCCTGGCTAGGACTCCTCATCCTAGCTGTGCCCATAACTCCGTCATCTGTCACTTGGGGGAGCCTGAGGTGGCCAGGTGGCTGCCCTGGCTTCCAGTTCAGTTGCTTCGTGGCTATGTCTTTGAGGATGTGTTTTTCCCTTGGAGACCAAACCTCCACAACTGCCCGGCTCAACCCCAGGTAGAGAAGGGCAGTGAGACACCCTGACAACCCTTCCATCTCCACACTGCCCCCTGGCAATGTGGGCACCTGCTTCCTGGCCAGCCTCAACGTGGTGTTTCTCGTGCCATAGCTAAGCTTCCAACACAACATTCACCATCCTGGCCAGAGGGAATCCTATGAGAGAGCCTTCTGCACCATCCTGGTAGGATGCAGCGTGTGCTGACATCACCATGGTGTCTGGGGCATTTGATGACTCACTAGATGGCGATGGTGGGACAGGCTGATGGGCCAGGAGGACCAATTCAAACCTAGAACAGGGACCAAAAGGGTCAAGACAAATCACTGGCCCCACTCAGTGGTATAGACTGAGGGAAGTTGGTGGCATGGGTGGAGGAAGCACACGGAAGACTGAGCACACACACTGCTCATGCCCTCGGTGCCCTGGCCTGGGGCCACCCTGTCCCCCTGATGATGCCTCACTGTGGCTAATAGATCAGACACTGCCACAAAGGGTGGTGGGCCCACCTAGTGAGCCATAGCTAAGCACCCAGGCTCCCCAGAGCCTGGTGATAAATTGGGGAGCATTTCTCAAAAGGACAATAGTTACTCTTTGGCAAGACTGTCATTTTGCCATTGGGTTCCTGTACCATATTTTTCTTATCAGGACTTCCATGAGCCATCACAGGCTTTATATGACTCACTGATGTGTCATCGACAGACACCTCAGCACCCTTGATCCGACAGGTCACATGGCCCGGTGGCAGCCCATCCCTGGCAGCCTTCTGGGTCAGTAACTGGTTTGGTGATAAGGGAATCTGGTCCACATTAGCAAGGAAACATTTGGACCTCAACAGCCCCTTCAGCCTCCAGAACTTTGCTGAGGGGCAAGTGTTTTCACCTGAGTTCTCTGACTCCTGACTCACAGATGTCATACCACGGCATCTAGGGAAACTGCTGCCCCTACCCCTTCTATAGATGCTGGGCAGCAAGACACAGATCCCTTTGGGGGAGATTTTGAGGAAGGCTCCCAAGATATGTCCAGGTGTTAAAGTTTTTCTTCAAAGAGATATTTGAGTATTCAACTTTCTCTCCAGTTAAGGTCTGGAAATCAAGCAAGCGACCTTGACCTGACTTTGGCTGTTTGAGACAGACTTGGTGGCCCAACCAGAAGTCTTTAGTTACAGGAATTACTAAACAATGGCTTAGGGGATAGCTGTCCCTTTTTCATTCTTAGGACCCAGCAACTCGTTGACCACAGCTTGAGGGCTGGTTTCTATAACGCGTCCGTTTCGATGACTTCCCAACTTTGTATCCTCAGCTCATCTCTCCTGCGAGGTCAGAGGCCTTATCTCCATAGCACCCTTTCCATCCAGCATCCCAGGCCCAGAGAGAAAACTAGCAGAGCCATTATCTCTCATGGCTAGGAGGGGGCCACCTGCCAGGTCCTGCTGAGACAGGGCAACAGGGACACTCCGAACACAGTGACATCATCATCCCTGTACACAGGACCAACCAGAAACTTGCTATTTTCCATCCTTCATCTAAATCTGGTGCTGTTCACAGAGCCAGTTATATCTTTGGATATAATCTAGCATAGGCCAATGTTTGGTAGATCTGTATGATCCTAAAGTGGTAAGAGCTGTATCTGACTGTGTGAACTTCTACACTGAATGTAGACCCTCCAGTAAGAGAACTTAGGTATCAAAAAATACAGCCTGAACTAAAATTAGGTTCTGCACATCTTGGTCAGACAGTTCAATAAGTTTCCAAAAGTGGCCCGTGGATATTTGTTGACAATACATATTCACTAGTTCTCAGTTTCTCCTGGATGTAACTCTTCTTTTTCCTAGTGTGGACTCTGGTTACTGGCAGGAGAGTAGTGCAGTGTGGGATGGGAGGGAAGAGCTTTGCTTTCCCCTGCAAGACAGAGCTCTGACTTTCATGGTAAAGGAGGCCATCCTTCTGAAGAGTTGTATTCAGAGCACTTATGTCCTCTGAATATTCCCAGACTTTAACCACTCACCAAGTTGACAGGATCCCAACCTTTTCTGAGACTAGGTGAGGTTGTGAATTCACTGGTGGTGAATTTAGCCACTTTGCAGAATCAGTCTCTGAGTTTATTGTTAAACAAACTCAATAGCTAGAAGCTGGAAGGGGATTTCTACACAGTAATGCCAAGGTCCCGAGTTCCATCCCAGCCCTTGAGGCAAGAGGGTTTAATTTGTGGTGCTGGAGATTGAACTCAGACCCTTTACACTGAATTATCTCCCCAGCCCTTTTAAAAAACTTTTTTTATTTGGGACAAGGTCTCTCTAAGTCACTCAGTTTCCCAGGCTGGACTCAAACTTTCAATCCTCTTGCCTCAGCCTCTGGGAGTACTGGGGTTACAGATTCTCACTGGCACTCCTGGATTTTTCCTAGTTTAAAGTAAGCCAAATTATTAGGAAGTTTGGTGGGCTTAGAACAAATCCATTCAAACTCTCCTTTAATAAGATGCCTCATCTTTAAAAAAAAAATCCTTTTTGCTAATATTTATAATAGTGAATGAGATGGATGTAGACCCCTCCCTCACGGAGCATACAGTTGAGTGAGGGAAATCCACCGTGGCAAATATGTGTTAAGTGCTATGAGGCAGAAGAATGGGAGAGAATAATGGGGAGGGAGGACCTGATTTTGTGTGTGGGTCTCAGGAATTTCTCACGGCTGACATTGAAGCTGAGATCAGAGAGATGTTGGTCGGAGGAAGAGAAAGGGGAGGTGCACATCAGGCAGAGGAACAGCAGGTGCAACTGTGCCAAGGCCAGATACAGTCACAGTCACAGTGGGACATGTTCTGAGACACACGCCACTGGGTGTTTTGTCATTGTGCAAGTGTGGACACATTGAAGTGTGGACACATCAGTCACTCGATGTGGCCTCTTTATTTTATTATTATTATTTTTTGTCTTGCTGGGTATCGGACCAGGGCTTCCCACATGCTGTCAAGTGCTCTACTACTGAGCCATACTCCAGCCCTTGTAAAAAATTTTATTTTGTAACAGAGTTT